CCTGTTGTTCCTGTCCCTAGTTGTTCCTTCTCTCTGTCCTGTTGTTCCTGTCCCGTTCCTGTCTCTGTGTTGTTCCTGTTCCCTGGTTGTTCCTGTCCCTGTGTTGTTCCTGTCTCTGTGTTGTTCCTGTCTCTGTGTTGTTCCTGTCCCTGTGTTGTCCTTTTCACTGTTGTTCCTGTCACTGTGTTGTTCCTGTCTCTGTGTTGTTCCTGTCTCTGTGTTTTTTCCTGTCCTTGTTGTTCCTGTCTCTGTGTTGTTCCTGTTCTGTGTTGTTCCTGTCTCCAGTGTCTTTGTCTCTGTGTTGTTCCTGTCTCTGTTGTTCCTGTCTCTTCCGTTGTTCTGTCTCTGTTTGTTCCTGTTCTGTGTTGTTCCTGTCCCTTAGTCCCTGTCTCTGTATTTCCTGTCCTGTGTTGTTCCTGTCCCTGTGTTGTTCCCTGTCTCTGTGTTGTTCCTGTCTCTGTTGTTCCTGTCCCTGTGTTGTTCCTGCCTCTGTGTTGTTCCTGTCTCTGGTTGTTCCTGTCCCTGTGTTGTTCCCTGTCCCTGTGTTGTTCCTGTCTCTGTTGTTCCTGTTCTGTGTTGTTCCCTTGTTCCTGTCCTAGGTTGTTCCTGTCTCTGTGTTGTTCTGTCCCTGTGTTGCCTTCTGTCCTGTGTTGTTCCTGTCCCTGTTCTTCCTGTTCCTGTGTTGTTCCTGTCCCTGTGTTGTTCCTGTCTCTGTTCCTGTCTCTGTTGTTCCTGTCCCTTGTTGTTCCTGTCCCTGTGTTGTTCCTGTTCTGTGTTGTTCCTGTCCCTGTGTTGTTCCTGTCTCTGTGTTGTTCCCACTTGTGTTGTTCCTGTCTCTGTGTTGTTCCTGTCTCTGTGTTGTTCCTGTCTCTGTGTTGTTCCTGTCTCTGTGTTGTTCCTGTCCCTGTGTTGTTCCTGTCCACTGTGTTGTTCCTTCACTGTTGTCTCCTGTTCTGTTGTTCCCTGTCTCTGTGTTTTTTCCTGTCCCTTGTTGTTCCTTGTCACTGTGTTGTTGGGTTCCTGTTCTGTGTTGTTCCTGTTCCTGTGTTGTTCCTGTTCCCAGTTCCTGTCTCTGTGTTGTTCCTGTCTCTGTGTTGTCTGTCCCTGTGTTGTCCTTCTGTCTCTGGAGTTCCTGTCTCTTTGTTCCTGTCTCAGGTTGTTCCTGTCCCTTGTTGTCCTTCTTCCTGTCTCTGTTCTTGTCCCTGGTTCTCTGTTCTGTGTTGTTCCTGTCTCTGTGTTGTTCCTGTCTCTGTGTTGTTCCTGTCCCTGTTGTCCCTGTCTCTGTTGTTCCTGTCTCTGTGTTGTTCCTGTCCCTGTGTTGTTCCCGTCTCTGTTTCCTGTCTCTGTGTTGTTCCTGTCTCTCTGTTTGTTCCTGTCCCTGTGTTGTTCCTGTCCCTGTGTTGTTACTTCTCGACCATGTGGTTATTTGATCACTGTGTTGTTCGGACCATGTGTTGTTCCTGTCACTGTTGTTCCTGACCAGTATGTTCCTGACCAGCGGTTGTTCCTGACCTTCATGTGTTCCTGTCACTGTGTTGTCTTTTGACTATGGGGAAAGAGTTCTTTTTGTTCTAGGGAAAGAGTTCTTGGACTATAGAAAGAAATTTTGTTACTGAAAGAGTTTTGACTATAGGGGAAAGAGTTTTGTTCATAGAAAGAGCTCTTTTGTTCCTTGTAGCAGCCTTTTGTCTCTTAAGAGCCTTTGACTATAAGAGGTTTCTTGGACTATAAAAGAGCCTTTGTCATCAGAAAAAGAAATTCTTGACTATAAAAGAGTCTTTGTCTCTTAAGAAAAGTTATTGACTATGTGTTAGCCCCTGACTATGTGTTGTTCTTGACTATAGAAAGAGTTCCTTGTCTCCTAGAAAGAAATTTTGTGGTTCCTAAGAGCCCTAATTATTTGTTGATCCTGTCCTTGTAGCATTTTGTCCCTAGAAAGAATTTTCCTTGACTATAAGGAAAGAGCCTTGGACTATGGGAAAGAAATGCCTGACTATGGGAAAGAGCCTTTGTTCTTGTGTTGTTCCTTGTCCCCAGGTTGAGTTCCTGACCATGTGTTGGAGTCCCTTGTCCCTAGAAAGAGTTCCTGACCATTTGTTGATCCTGTCCATGTTGTTCTTGTCCCCAGGTTGTTCCCTTGCTCACTGTAAGCAGTTCCCTGACCATTTGTTGATCCTGACCATGTTGTTCCTGTCTCTGTGTTGTTCCTGTCCCCAGGTTGTTCCTGTCCCTGCAGTGAAATTCCTGTCCCCTGTGTTGTTCCTGTCACTGTGTTGTTCCTGACCATTTGCTGATCCCGTCCATGCTGATCCTGTCCCCTGTGTTGTTCCTGTCCCCAGGTTGTTCCTGTCCCTGTGTTGTTCCTGTCCCTGTGTTGATCCTGTCCCTGTGTTGTCTTGTCCCTGTGTTGTTCCTGTCACTGTGTTGTTCCTGACCATTTGTTGATCCTGACCATGTTGTTCCTGTCCCCAGGTTATCCAGTCCTCTGTTGTTCCCAGCGAACCATGTGTTGTTCCTAACCATGGCAGCCCCAACCATGTGTTGTTCCTGACCATGTTGTTCCTGACTACAAAAAATGTTCTGGATCATGTGTTGTTCCTAGCCATGTGTTGTCTCTGACCATGTGTTCCCTGACCATGTGTAGTTCCTAACCATGTGTTTTTCCTGACCATGTTATTCCAATTCTTTGCTGTTCTTGTCCCTGTGTTGTACCTGTCCATGTGTTTTTCTCCCCTGACCATGTGTTGTTTCTTGTCTCCTCAGAAGAATCTTGTCCCTGTTGTAATTTGTCCATGTGTTGTAATCCTGTCCCCAGGAAAGGAACTGCGGACTATGGGTTGTACCTTGTCCCCAGGTTGTAATCTGTCTCATGTGTTGTTCCTGACCATGTGTTGTTCCTGTCTCTGTGTTGTTCCTGTCCCTGTGTTATTCCTGTCTCAGGTTGTTCCTGTCCCTGTATTTTTCCTCTCCCTGTGTTGTTCCTGTCTATGTGTTGTTCCTGTCCCTGTGTTGTTCCTGTCCCTCTTCTAATCCTGTCTCTGTGTTGTTCGTGTCCATGTGTTGTCTCTGTTCCTGTGTTGTTCCTGCATTGTTCCCAGTCTGTGTTGTTCCTTCGCAGGGTTGTTCCTGTCTTTGTGTTGTTCCTTTCTCAGAGATGTTCCTGTCTCATTGTTGTTCCTGTTCCCATTGTTCCTGTCTCTATGTTGATCCTGTCCCATTGTTGTTCCTGTCTCTGTGTTGTTCCTGTCTCATTGTTGTCTGTTTCTAGAGATGAGCCCTTCTCTCTAGGTTGTTCCTTTTGAGTTAGAGTTGTTCTTGTCCCTGTGGATTTTCCTGTCTCAGTGTTGTTCTACCCTCATTGTTGTTCCTGTTCCTATATTGTTCCTGTTGTCTCTAAAGAGTTCTTTCTTTCTTGTATTGTTCCTGACCAAATGTTGTTCCTTGGTCTTGTATTGTTCTGGTCCCTGTATTGTTCCTGTCCCCAGGTTGTACCTGTCCATGTGTTTTTTTTCCTGGACCATGTGTTGTTCCTGTCTATGTTGTTCCTGGTCTGTGTTATTCCAGTCCCTTGTGTTGTTACTGTCACTGTGTTGTTCCCTGATCTATGTGTTATTCTGTCTCTTGTTGTTCCTGTCTCTGTGTTGTTCCTGTCCCTGTGTTTTTCTGACCATATGTTGTTCCTGGGTCTGTGTTGTTCCTGTCTCTGTGTTGTTCCTCGGTCCCAGGAAAGATCTCTGTCTCAGGTTGTTCCTGTCCCTGTATTTTTTCCTCTCCCAGGGTTGTTCCTGTCTATGTGTTGTTCCTGTCCCAGAAGAAATTCTTGTCCCTTCTAACTCTGTCTCAGGGTTGTTCTGTGTCCACAGCAGTCTTGTTCCCAGGTTGTTCTGTGTATTGTTCCTTGTGTCTGTTGTCTTTTCTGCAGGGTTGTTCCTGTCTCTGTGTTGTTCCTTTCTCAGAGATGTTCCTGTCTCATTGTTGTTCCTGTTCCTGTATTGTTCCTGTCTCTGTGTTGTTCCTGTCTCATTGTTGTTCTTGTCTCTGAGTTGTCTCTGCTCCTGTGTTGTTCCTGTCCCTCTTCTCATCCTGTCTCTGTGTTGATCCTGTCCCATTGTTGTTCCTGTCTCTGTGTTGTTCCTGTCTCATTGTTGTTCCGAGCATTGTATTGTTCTCTGTGTTGTTGTCTTTCAGAGTTGTTCCTTGTCCCTGTGATTTTCTCCTGTCCTGTTGTTCCTTTCATTGTTGTTGTTCCTGTTCCTATATTGTTCTGTCTTATGTTGTTCCTTTCTGTGTTGTTCTGACCAAATGTTGTCTCTGTCCCCTGTATTGTTCTTGGTTCTGTATTGTTCCTGTCCCCTGTGTTGTTCCTGTCCCTGTGTTGCACCTGTCCATGTGTTTTTTCTGTCTATGTGTTGTTCCTGGTCCATGTGTTATTCCACTTTTGCTGTTCCCTGTCCTGTGTTGTTCCTGTCCCTGTGTTTTTCTGGATCTATGTTGTTCCTGTCTATGTGTTGTTCCTGTCCATGTGTTATTCCAGTCCCATGTTGTTACTGTCACTGTTGTTCTGACTATGGTTGTTTTGTCTCTGTTGTCTTGTCTTTAGGTTGTCTCTTGTCCCTGTGTTTTTCCTGTCCATGTGTTTTTCCCTGACCATATGTTGTTCCTGTCCCTGTGGTTCCTGCAGGTTCACAGGTTGTTCCTGTCCCTGTGTTGTTCCTGTCTCTGTGTTGTTCCCAGGTCCCTGTGTTATTCCTGTCTCTGTGTTGTTCTGGACCATGTTGTTCTGTCCCCTGTGTTGTTCCTGACCATATGTTGTTCCCTGTCCTGGTGTTTTTTCCCCTGTCCCCTGTGTTGTTCCTGAAACTTCTGTGTTGTTCCAGTCCCATGTGTTGTTACTGTCACTGTGTTGTTACTGTCACTGTGTTGTTCCTTGTCCCCTGTGTTATTCCCAGGTTCCGACTATATGTTGTTCCCGTCACTGTAAGTGGTTCCTTGTCCCCAGGTTAAGAGTTCCTTGTCTCTGTTGTTCCTATCCCTGTGTTATTCCTGTTCCCCAGTTGTTCCTGACCATATGTTCCTGTCCCTGTGTTTTCTTTTCCCTGAATCATGTTGTTCCTGTCCCTCAGGTTATTCTTGTCTCTGTGTTGTTCCTGTCCCTTGTTGTTCCTGTTCCCCTGTGTTGTTCCTGTCTCTGTTCCTGTCCCTGTATATTCTTGTTCTGTGTTGTTCTTGTTCTGTATGTTCTGTCCCTGTGTTGTTCCTGTCCCTGTGTTGAGCCCTTGTCTCTGTGTTGTTCCCAGCACGTTGTTCCTTGTTTCGGCAGCCTTGTTCTGTGTTGTTCTCTGTCCCTGTAAGTGTCTTTGCTTTGTACATCTTGTCTCTCAGAAAGAATTCCTTTGTCTCCTAGAAAGAGTCTCTTTTTCTCTGTTGTTCCTGTCTATGTTTTTCCTGTCCATGTGTTTTTCCCTGACCATGTAAGAGCCTTGTCTATGTGTTTTTCCCTGGTTCTGTTGTTCCTGTCCCAGGTTGTCTTGTCCCCTGTAAGTGTCTTCTGTCTCTGTGTTGTTCCTGTCCCTGTGTTTTTCCTGTCCATAAGCATCTCTGTCCCTGTTGTTCCTGTCCCTGTTTTTCCTGTCCATGTGTTTTTCTGACCATATGTTGTTCCTGTCCCTGTTGTTCCTGTCTCTGGAAAGAGTTCCTTGTCCCTGTGTTATCTTGTCTCTGTGTTGTTCCTGTCCCTGTTATCTTGTCTCTGTGTTGTTCCTTGTCCCTGTGTTGTTCCTGTCTCTGTGTTGTTCCTGTCCCTGTGTTATTCCTGTCTCAGGTTATTCCCGTTCCCAGAAAGAGTTCTTGTTCTAGGTTGTCTTGTCCCTAGAAGAGTTCCTAGTTCTAAAGAGCTTGTCCCCTGCATATTCCTGTCTCTCAGGTTATGTTCCATGTCCATGTGTTGTTCCACCATGTGTTTTTCCTGACCATATGTTGTTCCTGTCCCCAAGTGAGTTCCTGTCCTGTGTTGTTCCTGTCCCTGTTGTTCTGTCTCTAGGTTCCTGTCCTGTGTTGTTCCCTTGTCTCTGTGGTTGTTCCTGTCCCTGTGTTGTTCCTGTCTCTGTGTTGTTCTGTCCTGTTATTCCTGTCTCTGTAGGTTGTCTTCATCCCCTGTATTTTTTCCTCCCCTGTGTTGTTCTTGTCTTTATGTGTTTTCCTGACCTCATGTAAGGTCTGTCCTGTGTTGTTCCCGTCAATGTATGTTGTTCCTGTCCCCAAGAGCTTTTCTCTTGTGTTGTCTTGTCTAAGTTTTTCCTGGACCATATGTTGTCTTCTGTCCCTGTTGTTCCTGTCTCTCAGGTTCCTTGTCCCTGTGTTGTTCCTGGTTTCTAAGAGCTTTCTTGTCCCTGTGTGTTGTCTTCTTGTCTCTGTGCCATTCCATCCCTGTGTTGTTCTTGTCTATGTGTTTTTCCCATCCATGTGGTTATTCCTGTCCCTGTGTTGTTCCTGACTATGTGGTTAAGTTCCTTGTCCTGTATTGTCTCTGTCTCAAGGTTCCTGTCTCTGTAAGAGCCGGTCCCCAGATGCTTCTTCCTGTGTTGTTCCTGTCTCTGTGTTGTCTCCTGTCTCTGTATGGAATTCTGTCTCAGTGGTTGTTTCTGTCCCCAGGAGGTTCCTCTTCCTGTAAGTGTTCTTTTTCTTTCTGTGTTTTTCTGTCTCTGTGCTTTCTGTTCCAGTGTTGTCTTGTCTCCATTGTTGTTCCTGTCCCCAAGCAGTTCCTTCTCCCCTTCTAATCCTGTCTCTGTGTTGTTCCTGTCCATGTGTTGTTCCTGTTCCTGTCAGTTCCCAGGTATTGTCCCCAGGTCTTGTTGTCTTCTGGTTGTTCCCTCTCTCTGGAAGAGTTCCTTTCTCAGAGATGTCTTGTCCCATTGTTGTCTTGTCTGCATTGTTCCTGGTCTCATTGCTGTCCCTGTCTCTGTTGTTCTGCTCCTGTGTTGTTCCTGTCCCTCTTCTCATCCTGTCTCTGCTGGATCCTGTCCCATAGTTGTTCCTGTCTCTGTGTTGTTCCTGTCTCATTATTGTTCCTGTTTCTTTATTGTTCCTCTCTCTGTGTTGTTCTTTTCTCAGAGTTGTTCCTGTCCCTGTGATTTTCCTGTCTCAGTGTTGTTCCTGTCTCATTGTTGTTCCTGTTCCTATATTGTTCCTGACTCTATGTTGTTCCTTTCTCTGTGTTGTTCCTTAATCAACAATGTTGTCTTGTCCCTGTATTAGCCCTGGAGTCCCCTAGATGAAACCCTTGTCCCTGTTGTACCCAAGCCCATGTGTTTTTCTCCTGTTCATGGAGACCCAGTCCATGTTATTCCAGTCCCTTGTGTTGTTCCTGTCCCTGTGTTGTACCTGTCCATGTGTTGGCCCCAGTCCCCTGTGATAGTCCTGTTCTGTGTTGTTCCTCGTCTCTGTGTTGTTCCTGTTCTCAGGTTGTTCCCATCTGTGTTGTTCCTGTCTCTGTGTTGTTCCTGTATCTGTTGTTCTTTCTTTCTGTGTTGTTCCTGTCCATGTTATTCCAGTCCCTCAAGTTGTTACTGTCTCCTGTGTTCCTGTCTCTGTGTTGATCCTGTTCATGTGTTGTTCTGTCCCTGTGTTATTCCTGTCCCTGTATTGTTCCTGTCTCTGTGTTGTTCCTGTTCCCAGTGAGCCTTGTCCCTGTGGAAGGTCCTGTCCCCCAGGTTGTTCCTTGTCCCCAGGGCAGTCTCTGTCCCCAGGTTAGGTTCCCTGTGTTGTTCCTGTCTCTGTGTTCTTCTGTCCCTTTGTTATTCCTGTTACTGTTGTTCCTGTTCCTGTATTGTTCTGTTCCCCAGGTTGTTCCCTTGTCTGCAGAAAGAGCTTGTCCCCAGATGTTCTCTGTAAGAATTCCTTGTCTCTGTGTTGTTCCTGTCTCTGTGTTATTCTTGTCTCTCAGTGTTGTTTCTTGTCCCTGTGATGCTCCTCTCTGTGTTGTTCCTGTCTCTGTGCTGATCCCGTTCATGTGTGTTGTTCTGTCCCTGTGTTGTTCTGTCTCTGTTGATCCTGTTCATGTTGTTCTGTCCCTGGTGGGTGAGCCCTGTCCTGTATTGTTCCTGTCTCTAGGTTGATCCTGTCTATGTGTTGTTCCCTGCCCCTGTGTTATTATTCCCTGTCCCTGTATTGTTCCTGTCTCTGTGTTGTCCCTGTTCTGTGTTGTTCCTGTCTCTGTGTTGTTCCCTGTCTCTGTAAGTGTTGTTCCTGTATCTGTGCTGTTCCTTTCTCTGTGTTTTGTTCCTGTCTCCTGTGTTGTTCCTGTACCTGTGTTGTTCCTTCTCTGCAAGTTGTTCCTTCCACCTGTGTTGTTTCTGTCTCTGTGTTGTTCCCATCTCTGTTGTTTCTGTCCCCTGTGATATTCCTCTCTCTGTGTTGTTCCTGTTCTGTGTTGATCCTGTCTATGTGTTGTTCCTGTCCCTGTAAGCATATTCTTGTCCTGTATTGTTCTGTCTCTGTGTTGATCCCTGTCTATGTGTTGTTCCCAGCTCTCTGTGTTATTCTTGTCCCCTGTATTGTTCCCTGTCTCTAGCACCCTTGGTTCTGTAAGAGCTTTCTCTCTGTGTTGTTCCTGCCCCTGTGTTATTCCTTTGTCCCCAGGTTGTTCCTGTTACTGTGTTATTCCTGTCCCCTGTAAGAGCCTTTCCTCTGTGTTGTTCCCTGTCCCTGTTGTTCCTGTCTCTGTGTTCTTCTGTCCCTTGTTGTTCCCATACTGTGTTCTTCCTGTCCCCAGAAGAGCTTCTTTCTCCAGGTTGTTCCTGTCTCTGTGTTCTTCCTGTCCCCTGTGTTGAGCTTTCTTCTTCTCTCTGTGTTGTTCCTGTTCTGTAGGTTGTTCCTGTCCCCAGGTTGTGTCTCTCAGGTTGTTCCTGTTCCCCAGGTTCTTCCTGTCCCTGTGTTGTTCTGTCCCTAAAGAGCTTTCAGGTTGTTCCTGTCTCTGTGTGTTGTTCCTGTCCCCAGGTTATTTCTTCTCTCAGGTTGTTTCCCAGGTCCCCAGGTTGTCCCTTGTCCCTGTGCTAGGTCTCTCTCAGGCTAATCTCTGTTACTGTGTTGTTCCTGTCCCTGTGTTGTTTTCTCTGTGTTGTCTTGGTCTCTGTGTTGTTCCTGTCCCTTGTAAGAGCTTTCCTCTGTAGGTTGTTCCTGTTACTGTGTTGTTCCTGTCCCTGTTGTTTCTTCTCTCTGTGTTGTTCCTGTCCCTGTAAGCAGTGTTCCTGTCCTGTACAGGTTCTCTGTGTTGTTCCTGTGGTTCTGTAGTTGTTCTGTCCCTGTGTTGTTTCTCTCTGTGTTGTTCTGTCCCTTGTGTTGTTCCTGTCCCTGTAAGGTAGTCTCTCTGTGTTGTTCTGTTACTGTGTTGAAAATTCCTGTCCCTGTGTTGTTTCTTTCATCTGTGTTGTTCCTGTCTCTGTGTGTTGTTCCCTGTCCCTTGAGGTTTCTCTCTGGGGTTGTCCTGTCCCCAAGTTGTTCCTGTCCCTGTAAGGTGTCTCTCTCTGTGTTGTTCCTGTCTCTGTGTTGTTCCTGTCCCCTGTGTTGGTCCTCTCTCAGGAAACCCCATCCCCAGGTTATTCCTGTCCCTGCCAGGTCTCTCTGTGTTGTTCCTGTCCCTGCTGTTCCCTGTCCCAGGTCAGGGGTCTCTCTCTGTTGTTCTGTCTCAGGTTGTCTTGGTTACTGTGTTGTTCCTGTCCCCAGGTTATTTCTCTGTTGTCTTTGTCCCTGTGTTGTCTTGTCCCTGTGTTAGGTCTTCTCCTTGTGTTGTTCTCTGTCTCTAGAGCACCCTGTGTCTCAAGAGCTTCTCTCTGTGTTGTTCCTGTCCCCTGTGTTATTCCTATCCCTGTGTTGTGTCTCTTCCTCAGGTTGTTCCTGTTACTGTAGGTTGTTCCTGTCCCCAGGTTGTTTCTCTCCAGGTTGTTCCTTGTCCCCTGTGGTTGTTCCTGTCCCCAGGTTGTTTCTCTCAGGTTGTTCTGTCCCTGTGTTGTTCCTAAACTCCCAGGTTAGGTCTCTCTGTGTTGTTCCTGTCTCTGTGTTGTTCCTGTCCCTTGTGTTGTTTCTTTCTCTGTTGTTCCTTGTCCCCAGGTTGTTCCTGTCCCTTGTGTTGTGTCTCTGTGTTGTTCCTGTCCCCAGCAGCCTCTGAAGTTGTTCCTTGTCCCTGTGTTGTTCTGTCCCCAGTGTTGTGTCTCTCTGTAAGAGTTCCTGTGCCATCAGAAAAAGAGTTCTTGTCCTTAGAAAGAGCTTTCTTTCTCTCTGTGTTATTCTGTCTCTAGCAGCAGAAGAATCTTGTCTCTAGGGAGCCTTCCTGTCCTTGAGCAGTCTCGAAAGACTAGAAAGAAACTTTGTCCCTAGGGAAAGAGCTTTCTCTCTAGGCGCAGTTCCTTGTCTCTAGGAAAGAGTTCCTGTCTCTGTTCTTCCCCAGTCCCCTGAGCTTTCTCTCAGTTGTCTCAGGTTGTCTTGTCTCTGTTCCTTGTCCCTGTATGAGCTTCTCTGTTGTTCCTAGTTCTGTTCTTCCTGTCCCTTGTTCCTGTTACTGTTAGGTCTCTCTCTGTGTTGTCTTGTCACTGTAAGGTTGTTCTGGCCTGCAAGCAGTTTTCTCCTCAGGTTGTTCCCAGGTCTCTGTGTTCTCTCCTGTCCCTTGTTGTTCCTGTCTCAAGGTTCCTTGTCTTGTATAGGTTCTCTGTGTAGTTCCTGTCTCAGGTTGAGTCTTGAACCCAAGTAGGTCTGTCTCTCAGGTTGTCTTGCCACTGTGTTGTTTTCTCTGTTGTTCCTGTTAATGTGTTGTTCCTGTCCCTGTGCCAGGTCTCTCTCTGTGTTGTTCCTGTCTCTGTGTTGTCCTGTCCCCAAAGAGTTTCTCTCTCCAGGTTGTTCCTGTCTCTGTGTTGTTCCTGTCCTGTGTTAGGTCTCTCTGTGTTGTTCCTGTCTCTGTGTTGTTCCTGTCCTGTGTTATTTCTTCTCTGTGTTGTTCCTGTCTCTGTTGTTCCTGTCCCTGCTAGGTCTCTGTGTTGTTCCTGTTACTGTGTTGTTCCTGTCCCTGTGTTGTTTCTCTCTGTGTTGTTCCTGTTACTGTTGTTCCTGTCCCCAGGTTAGGTCCTCTGAAGAAACTCTGTCCCAGGTTGTTCCTGTCTCAGGTTGGCCCTCTCTCAGGTTATTCCCAGAAACATCAGGTTGTTCCTGTCCCCAGGTTAGGTCTCTGTTGTTCCTTGTTACTCTGGTTGTTCCTGTCCCTAGGTTAGTCTCTCTCGTGTTGTTCCTGTTACTGTGTTGTTCCTGTCCCTGTGTTAGGTCTCTCTCTGTGTTGTTCCGTGGTCCCTGTGGTTAGTTCCCCTCTCTGTGTTGTCTCTGTCTCTGTATAGGTCTCTCTCTCAGGTGTTGTCTCCTGTCTCTAAGAGTTCCTTGTCCCTG